CCCCTCTGTTACCGCCTGCTAGTTGCACACTGGTGCGGGTCAGAACTACATTGGAGCTTATATTTACACACACATACATACATGTATTGCACACACACACATAGCTTACATATACACACACACAGACATATACACACATACATACATGTATTGTAGTTTAGTTTAGTTTACTTTATTTATTTGATCAGGGACAATGCACAAACAACATTAGTCTAAAAAAGAAGAGATGTCATGTGCCAGGTTATAGCAAAAATGCTAATTTCCACCCGCAGTCCCTGGACAGGTTGATGTTATACTTAAAAGAATTCATAAAATATATACAGAATAATACATAAACGCTTACATCATAAAAGCACTTTCTATCATTCACTCTCGCTCACAGTTTACAGCGTTCACAGTCATTCAGTGCGTACAGGTTTGCTTTGATAATAACCACTGTTTGGTTAGGCGTGTAAATGTGCTATAATTTGTGCATGAAATAATTTCATTTGGAAGAGTGTTCCAAAGGCTCGCTGCTTTATAAGAGAATGATTGTTGACCATATGCAGTTTTGCGTCTTGGAACGCTAAAACATTTTCTCAGAGGGGGAGCAGTGATGTTATAGATTATTTTAAACAGAGCAGAAATTTGATTACATTTAATAAGGTTTTCGAAACTCAAAAAGTTATATTTACTTTGTACTTTACAGTGATGATACTTACGAGGCTTTTTATCATGAATTTTTATGGCCCTTTTATATAATGATTCAAGTGATTTTAACGATGTTTTACACGCCTGAGACCAACTAGACATGCAATACAGAAAATGTGGAACAATCATAGTGTTGAGGTAAGTATTTGAGGCCTCTGTAGTTAATGAGTTTCTAATATGTTTAAAGTTCATCAAGTTAAATTTCAGTGTGTTACCAAGTCTTTTTATGTGACTTTTAAAACCAAGATTTGAATCAAGTATTAGACCTAAATATTTTGTTTCGTTTACATTTTTAATTTTTTGTCCATTTACTTGAATTTCTTGAGTTTGTTGTAATTTACGTTTATTCGAAAAAAACATTGAAACCGTTTTATCAACATTTAAGGTCAGGCAGGACGTCTGCAACCATTCTGCAACTTTTTTCATCTCTTTTGATAATTTGTCAGCAACCTCCAGCTCGTTTTTCCCAAAAGTGAAGATAACCGTATCATCAGCGTACATGATCAAGTCACTGTCAGAGCACACTGTAGGGAGGTCATTTATATAGATGCTAAAAAGCAAGGGTCCCAAAATAGACCCTTGCGGCACTCCCATTGAGGTGGCTCTAAACGCAGATTGGATGTTATTTACTCGTACACACTGATGTCGGTCGCTCAAATAAGATCTTATCCAGTTTTGGGTGTGCTCAGAGAGACTATATTGATTTAATTTACTGTAGAGTATCTGATGGTTGACGTGTCAAAAGCTTTACGCAGATCAAGGAAGACTGCTCCCACCACCCTTCCCTGATCCACATATGCCCTGACAGTTTCCAGGAAGTAGCAACAGGCAGAGTCTGTTGAATACTTCCGTCTGAAACCAAACTGCATTGGGTTTAAGAGCGCTTGTGAGTCAAAGTGGGCGGTAAGTTGATCCGCCACTGTCTTCTCGAGCACTTTTGACGCTGCTGGAAGGATGCTTATTGGACGATAATTGTTCATTTCTTGTTTGTCACCAGACTTAAATATAGGGGTGACAATCGCAGGTTTTAGGGCTGCTGGAAAAATCCCGTCACTAATTGATTGATTGATCATTGTTGTCAACGGATCAGAGAAGATGTCCCTATATTGTTTAAGAAAAGAAGTATCAAGTCCATAAATATCTTTTGCTTTGCTGCTGTTTAGCCCAGTCATTATTTTTTCAACTTTGGTTTTAGTTATTGGACTAAGATTAAACTCTGATTTGTCACTGATTATGAGAGGGGGATAAACAATTTGAAAATTCTGAGCCAGTTTTTGGACAATGTTTAAAAAATATTCATTAAAATTTGTTGCTATTGCAAAAGAGTCATCAATCATTTTTCCATTTATTTTGAGATGGATATTCTCACACTTTGACTTTTCTTTTCCAATCAATGTATCAATAGTTTTCCATATCATTCTAGTATTACCTTGTGCATTTCTGATGATTTCAATGAAAAAACTGGCTTTGGCCTTTCTAAGCTCAGCTGTAACTTTATTTCTTTGACTTGTAAAGGCGAATCGATCCGTTGTTAGTCCTGATTTTAGGAGTGTTTTTAGCGCCGCATCTCGCTTTTTCATCATATCCCAAATAGTTTTATTAAACCATGGCAAATTTCGTTTTGCATATCGCTTTCTCTGCTTATTTTTTGTATATTTGTTTAAGATGTCATTTACAGGATGTCTTCCCACTTTATTTGTTTTAAATCTTTTTCAACCAGTTGTAAATCTTTCTTTGGGATAAAAGTGATACACATTTTACTGTTAACTGGATTTTCATTCTTGCACCTTGCTTTTGTCAGTTTTCTAGCTACTAGGGTTAAATTGTGGTCAGACATGCCTGTGATTAAATTATAAGTTTGAACTTTTCTCTCAGGTTTATTTGTCAATATTAAATCTATTAAGGTTTGGGAAGATCTTGTTATACGAGTTGGTTTACTTAATAGTTGTGTCATTTGGAAAGGTTTTGTTATTTCTTTAAGTTTGTTTCTACATGATTTCTCACACCAATTTAAATTAAAGTCACCTAAAAGAATGACTTCTTTTCCGTCACATTGTTTAAGTATATTACCAAGAGAGATAAAGAATTCATCAGTAGCTTTAGGAGGTCGATAAATTGCTAATACACAGAAAGTAATTTGAGGAGATAAAGTGATAGTAGTCCCCCACACACTCCAGGTTACAGTCGCTGATGTCCAGTTGTTTACTTTTGATGTGATCTTTTACGTAAATCAGCACACCGCCGCCTTTACCCTTGTTTCTGTCGCGTCTATACAAAGTGTATCCCGGCACTTTCACTATAGATGAGGGGGTAGTTGGGGTTAACCAAGTTTCCGTTAAGCAGAGATAATCAAGATTTGAGTCCGTTAACAAATGTTCTATCTGCTCAGTCTTTGAAACAATGCTGCGGATGTTTAAGTGTCCTCCAAAAATGCCCTTCGGCTTTGTTTTCGGGTTCCAAAGCACACTCGCATGATTCACAGTCTGAAACAGTTTCATTTGCTGCTGTTTAAATGAAGCGACAGTATTTACAGTTGATGCTGGCTTAACGTGGATCATAGATGTTAATATTTTGTCAGGAATGAACTTAGGAGCAGAGTTTGTCCTGGTGTTAGCTCGTTTTCCCACGCTGGAACCTTGGGTGTGGATCAGCGGCGTTTCCACCCCGTGAATGGGAACAGCTGATTGTAGAGCGTCCACACGATCTTGATAATCCACAGGCCCGGGGTTTTGATGAATATCCCCGCAGAGAAGGAAAGAATATCCTCGCGTCCAACTTGCTGGCACCGTCCCTCTGGAGCAGCGCCGCTCGCGCAGCGCGCTACGAGTACATGCTCGCCCGCCATTTAAAACGCTAGAGTATATGGTGTATTGGCACCAAGAAGCAAGTGGCATTGGCACGGCTGTGTCTGCTAACGTCGTGGCCTGCAATAGAGTGTGGCGTTCGCGTTCACGAACGGCAGACCGATTTCCCCACAGTTGTGTCAGTAGAAGAAGCAACACATACAGAGTTACCCAGAGACGTAATGAGTTCTCTGTATTAGTGTGTTTGATGATGAGGCGTGAGTTCCAAGATGCAGAAATTCCATTTGCAAAGAAATCATCTCGCGGTCTCCCAGTTTGTTGTAGGAAAGGTACAGCAGCACCTGTCCAGCCACTGCCCTCCTCCGCCATGTTGTTTGCAGTTGTTTGTTTGTGTTTGTACACACACACATACCGGTCTGTCGCGCTCCTCTGTGTCACGGAGCCCAAAGCATTCTTGCAAACCACATGGACCATGTTTGTGCTGCTGGTCCTTGGCATCAGCTCCACACTGATCACTTTTAAACTTTAGCGGAGACCTGCGAGACGCGGCTCGTCACTCGCTGCCCTGACCATGTGGACGAGCTGTCTTTTGCTTAAAAATGCTTTAAGCCGCAGCACAGCAGAATGGGTAGATTAAAACAGCAGTTCTCTGTGCGCAAAGGTGCCAAAGCTGTTACGGGTTTTGGTGCCGCTGTCTCGGCTCTGATCCCGTAGAATGCTCAGCTGCACTTATGAAAAGTACGCGGCTCGAAATGGCTGTTATTTCAAAGAACGTGGACTATTTTAAACTACGCGGTTAACCGGTTTCAACCGGTTAATGAGGCTCGGTGGTCGGTCATGAAAATTCATAGTTTTTTACATCCCTACCCGAGACGCACATGCAGTTCCACGCTTGAACGCGCATCACTGTTGACTTTACATTGAAAGTCGCCGCAACGCATGATCTGGTCTGAACGCGGAATTACACAACATTACTTGATTTAAAAAGGAATCATTTAAAAAGAAAAAAACAAATTCTAATGACCCTTGAAATCATCTTTTCTACTGTGTAAAAAAATAATCTACTCATCAGATGTGGACATCTGAAAATATGTAACAAACTTCTGCGTAGCTCATTCCGTCAAAACATCACGTCTGTTACAAAAAATAAACAAGACCGCTAAAGGAAACTTGACTAATTTATGGCAAGGCAAGGCACGTTTATTTGTATAGCACAATTCATACCCAAGGCAACTCAAAGTGCTGAACAAGATAGCATTAAAATCATAAATAATTACAGAACATTAAAACGAAAGATAAAAATATAAAATCCCTCAGTTGTATGCACAGCTAAACAGCACCGTTTTTAACCTGGTTTTAAACATTGTCAGAGAGGAGGCCTGTCTCACATCTTCAGGAAGATTGTTCCAGATTTTAGCAGCATTTTTAAACATTTATCTTCTAGCAACTTCTAATGGACAGAGGCGGTATTTGGATAAATGAAAAACATGTATGTATGAGACTTACTGTTCTACAGACAGAGCACCTCTTCCCTGCTCCCTTTTCTCCACACGTTGTACAGAACTCTGTGTCCATGAACCCCACTTGTCCAGTGATGGCCTGGGTCAGCACAGAGAGCGCTGTGGGGTCATTCCCCTGCAGAAAACACAAAACAATAGATAAGTCTACAATCAGGGGTGTCAAACTCCTTTTGGTCTGGGGACCAAATACAATCTAATTGGATCTCAACTGGGCCGGATCAGAAGATTCTCTACAAAAAAGTCCAACATTGTGTGCATATAAACACATTTATTTAAAACTTCCCTTAAAACACGGTCTAATACTCGCTCAGTTTAAACTGTAAATCTGTTAATAACTTAAATGAAATAGTGAATTTTTCATAGTGCAAACAATGTAATGTATTTACAATAGTACGTTGTAAATGGCATTTCACAATATTTATATTAATATTTGTATGTTAGCTTTGTTTTATTAAGGCACATTACAGAGGAAACTTGCTCACAAAGGTACAGTAGGTAGATAAAAAAAAATTACTTTAACACAGCACCTAGGGGTGGGCGATATGGCCTAAAATTCATATTGCTGTATAATTTGGACTAGCAGGTTCTTGCATAAAATAGTCCAGATTGTTATTATTTTAAAATTTATTGTTCAAAACTGCAATTATAGAGAACATTATAAAACTTAAACTTTCAAGCAGTTTACATTTAAAACAAGGCAATGTCAATTTCAAAGTGAAACATCATTCCAGAGCAAAATACTCTTTTCCCTCCCTTTTCTTAAAGCTGCATTACCTGACTTTATTTTTGTATTTATTCCGAAAATTCAATCCATATCCATGCAATGCATTGGGATATACAGTACGTCCTTTTGAAGAAAAAGTAGCGCAGATTTGTGCTGGCGAGTTTTCGTGAAAAAAGGAAGAGAATGTGTTTTGGATCCAATCACAGCGGACCACTAGCCCCCGCTTTCTTGAGAAAAGCCACAGGTCTCTTGTTAGCACAGACTGCGGAGGTTAACAAGCGGCGGAGGCTAACCTGAAGCTTCCCGTGTCTTCACCGGTTTCTGCTTTACACAGCGAAACAGCCATCCAAAAGAAAGTCTCGTCCTCTCCGCGCTTCCCGGTTCATTCTATGGTCACGCCATCCACGTTCAAATGTGCGATCCATATTGTGAGATGTGAGCTCCGTATACATTTAGCATGTGAGCACAGGCTAAGGGGGAGGGGGGTAGTGGGGGGCGAAAGCTCCGTTGGAGCGGGGGGGGGCGAGCAAAAAGAGCGAGCCCAGCGCTCACACTCAAAAAAAATTCAAAGTCATGTGTGCAGCTAACTGACTTTACTAACACAAAATGGCATACAAACATTTAAATAATAATAAAACAAAACTTCATGTACAAGAGGTATGGATGCCTTTTTGAAAAAGCTGCCAGGACGTAACCTTTTTAGGCTCTCCAACTTCTTCAGCAGCTCCTGCGCTGGCAGGTGGTGGTGAATCTGTGGAGGATGCAGCTTGCATCTGCCTCTCCAGTAGGGCTTGAATTCCTGCCAATGCTTTAGTCTTGACATAATCTTTTCGGTTGTCGGCTACGTATGAAGTTTTGAATCGTGGATAGACAAGGAGGGCCATATCGAGCAGATTTCATTGAAATACTGGAGAATGGTCCTCTTCATATGCTTAGTCAGTTCTGAGTCATCCTCAGCTGAAGACAGAACCCGGTTGTTCAACAGATGGAGCACAGGTTTAAGGTAGGACACACTAACATGGTCTTCACCAGAGAGTGAGGGCCTTGTTCACCGACTCCAAGACACCAAGGTCTTGCCAAGTAGGTAGTCGGTGCCTGTTTTTTCCCCCCCGCTTTCAGGACTTGCGATATTGCCTTCTCAGATTCAGATTCATTTATTTCGCCATTTGCAGTATGTATACACCACATTGGAATACATTTGTAAAAGTTCCCCGTGTGCACAGGACAAGTACAGACACAAACAACATTAAAAGACAAAAATAAAACAAATTTTAAAAACAGTAAACAAATGTCACCGTGAAGTTGACCAACTTAAAACAGATCTATACGAGTGCAAAACATTAAAGTGCTCTATTCAAACTGTTAACAGCTCGTGGATAAAAACTGTTAGCATAACGAGATGTCCTGCATCTCAGAGAACAGTATCTTCTGCCAGAGGGAAGAAGCTGGAACAAGGCTTTTCCTGGGTGGCCAGAAGAGTCTCTGATAATTCTCAGGGCACTGTTAAAAAGTCTGGATTGATAAAGAACCTCCAGAACAGGAAGCTCACAACCCACGGTCCTCTTTGCAGAGCGGAGCACCTTGTTTAGAGCTCTCTTTTCTTTATCTGTGATATTACCGAACCACACAGACACAGAACCAACAAGTAAACTCTCAATGGTGCAGCGATAAAAGTTCAGCAGAATCTTAGAGTTAGTGGTAAATTCTCTAAGTTTCCGCAGGAAGTAGAGACGCTGACGAGCTTTCTTAACGACTCGGTCAGTGTTTTTAACCCATTTCAGGTCATTAGACAGAGTTAGACCCAGAAACTTACACTCCTCTACAATCTGCACTTGGGAGTTATCGATTGCGACAGGCAAATGAGAACTATTGTGACTGAAATCAAAGACCAGTTCGCATGTTTTGGATGCGTTCAGCTGGAGGTTGTTAGCCTTACTCCACTGAACCACGTTTTGGATCTCGGCTCTATAAGACGATTCATCGTTATTACTGATGAGACCGATGATGGTGGTGTCATCAGCATATTTAAGGATCAGGTTAGAGTCTGAGGAAGACACACAATCATGAGTGTACAGTGTAAAAAGTAAAGGACTCAAAATACATCCCTGAGGAGATCCAGTGCTCACAGAAACAACATCTGAAAAACAGTCATTGATTTTCACTCTCTGAGATCTGTCTGTTAAAAAGCTATAGATCCATTTACACATGGCAACACTTAAGCCAAGAGACATGAGCTTTTCAATCAGTATACCTGGGACAAGACAATTAAAAGCAGAGCTATAATCAATGAACAGCATTCTTGCAACAGATTTCCTAGTGTCCAAGTGACTGTAGACAGAGTTCAGAGCAAAGGAGATGCATCCTCCACACTCCTGTTCTGTCTGTAGCAAACTGGAGCGGGTCAGGGATCTGGCTCTTAATGAAGTCCAGCACAAGCCGCTCAAAAGTCTTCATTAGGACAGAAGTGAGGGCCACAGGACGATAGTCATTAAGGCATGTCACAGGAGTTTTCTTAGGAACTGGGATAATGGTCGACTTTTTGAAACAGTTCGGCACAGTACAGTTCCTTAGCGACAGGTTAAAGATGTCTGTTAGCACAGGGGCAAGTTGCTCAGAGCACAGTTTCAGGACACGAGGAGGGATGCCGTCCGGGCCAGGGGCTTTCCGGACAATGGTGCTGGACAAGACCGTGATGGCTTTAATACCGCTCCACATGCGCCGAGGGTCATCTTCCTTAAAATAACCCTTTAACCTGTCCCCGTAACTGCGCTTTGCAGATTTAATAGAACGTTTCAATGCATAACAGGATAGCTTATAGGCAACTGTATCGTTAGATTGAAACGCCAGAGCACGCTCATGAAGTTTTTGTTTCACTTCCGCGTTCATCCAAGGGTTTTGACTGAGATGTACTTTAATGACCTTCTGTGGGACACAGCAGTCAATACAGAAGCGTATGTATCCAGTCACAGCGTCACAGAATTCATTAACATCCTCTGATTGAAACACAGACCAGTCAGTGGCATCAAAACACCCTTGTAGCTTCATGCTAGCCTCCTCAGACCAACACTGCACAGTGCGAGAGGTTGGTTTATGTTCCCTGCTCCTCTGAGTGTATGAAGGAAGAAGGAGAACAGAGGAGTGGTCGGACTTTCCAAATGGAGGTCTGAGACTGGACCTGTAAGCTCCCTTCACATTGCTGTAGCAGTGATCCAGGATCTGTGCTCCTCTTGTAGCTCGAGTCACATGTTGGTAGAAATTTGGGAGTACAGTCTTTAAATTACATTTGTTAAAATCCCCAGCGACAATAATCACCTCCCCCTTGGACTGCCACCTTAACGTGGTGGGGGAGTTTGAGTACTCGGATGATCCTGGGAGCTATGCTGTCTGGGGCTTCATGCCCCTGGTAGGGCCTCCCATGGCAGACAGGTCTCAAGTGACGAGTCAGACGAAGCGCAGTCCGAAGCCAACCATGGACAGCACGACAACGAAAACCGTGACGTCGCCCGGCATGGCGCAGCCGGGGCCCCACCCTGGAGCCAGGCCTGGGGTCGGGGCTCGCAAGCGAGCGCCTGGTGGCCGGGCCTTAGCCCACGGGGCCCGGCCGGGCTCAGCCCGAAGGGATGACGTGGGCAGTCCCTCCTGTGGGCCCACCACCTGCAGAGGGGTCCGTGGTGGCGTGGTGCAGCGAGGACTGGGCAGCGGTCGAAGGCGGAGACCGACGACCCAGTCCACACACCCAACATCTGGCTCTTGGGACGTGGAACGTCACCTCACTGGGGGGGAAGGAGCCCGAGCTCGTGGGGGAAGTTGAGCGATACCGACTAGAGGTAGTCGGCCTCACCTCCACACACAGCTTGGGCTCTGGAACCCAACTCCTTGAGAGGGGTTGGACGCTCCACTTTTCTGGTGTTTCTCGCGGGGAGAGGCGGCGAGCTGGGGTGGCCATACTCATTGCCCCCCATCTCAGCCGCCACGTGTTGGAGTTCTCCCCGGTGAATGAGAGGGTCGCGTCCCTCCGCCTCCGGGTGGGGGACAAGTCTCTCACTGTTGTGACGGCCTACGGGCCTAACGGTAGTGCAGAGTACCCGGCCTTCTTGGAGTCCTTGGGAGGGGTACTGGACAGTGCACCGCCCGGGGACTCCGTTATTCTCCTGGGGGACTTCAACGCCCATGTGGGAAATGCCAGTGACACTTGGAGAGGGGTGATCGGGAAGAGCGGCCCCCCTGATCTGAACCCGAGCGGTGTTCAGTTGTTGGACTTCTGTGCTAGTCACGGCCTGTCCATCACGAACACCATGTTCGAGCACAAGGGTGTCCACCAGTGCACGTGGCACCAGGACACCCTAGGCCGGAGGTCGATGATCGACTTTGTTGTTGTATCATCTGACCTTCGACCGCGTGTCTCGGACACTCGGGTAAAGAGAGGGGCGGAGCTGTCAACCGATCACCACCTGGTCGTGAGTTGGATCCGCTGGCAGGGGAAGAAGCCGGTCAGACCTGGCAGACCCAAGCGTATAGTGAGGGTTTGCTGGGAACGTCTCGCTGAGCCCCCTGTCAGACGGACTTTCAACTCACACCTCCGGGAGAGCTTCTCCTAGGTCCCGGCGGAGGAGGGGGACATCGAGTCCGAGTGGACCATGTTCTCTTCCTCTATCGCCAATGCGGCGGCTCGTAGCTGTGGTCGCAAGGTCTCTGGTGCTGGTCCCGGCGGCAATCCCCGAACCCGGTGGTGGACACCGGCAGTAAGGGATGCCGTCAGGCTGAAGAAGGAGTCCTATCGAGCAATGATGGTTCGTGGGACTCCTGAGGCAGCTGTCCAGTACCGGCAGGCCAAACGTGCCGCGGCCCGGGCTGTTGCAGAGGCAAAAACCCGGGACTGGGAGGAGTTCGGAGAGTCCATGGAGCATGACTATCGGTCGGCCTCGAAGAGGTTCTGGCAAACCGTCCGGCGCCTCAGGAGGGGGAAGCAGTTCTTTGCCAACACCGTGTATGGTGCGGGTGGAGGGCTGCTAACCTCGACTGAGGATATTGTCGGGCGGTGGAAGGAATACTTCGAGGTTCTCCTCAATCCCCCCGTCACGTCCTCCGTTCAGGAGGCAGATGCTGAGGATGTTGGGGCGGACACTTCCATCTCCCTGGCCGAGGTCACCAAGGTGGTTGGCAGCCTCCATGGTGGCAAGGCGCCGGGAGTGGATGAGATCCGCCCTGATTATCTAAAGTCTCTGGATGTTGTAGGACTGTCTTGGCTGACACGTCTCTGCAACATCGCGTGGCGATCGGGGGCGGTGCCAATGGAGTGGCAGACCGGGGTGGTGGTCCCTCTCTACAAGAAGGGGGACCGGAGGGTGTGTTCCAATTATCGTGGGATCACACTCCTCAGCCTCCCCGGTAAGGTCTACTCCAAGGTACTGGAGAGGAGGCTACGTCCGATGGTCGAATCTCGGATTCAGGAGGAGCAGTGTGGTTTTCGTCCCGGTTGCGGAACACTGGACCAGCTCTATACTCTCCATCGGATACTCGAGGGTTCATGGGAGTTCGCCCAACCTGTCCACATGTGCTTTGTGGATTTGGAGAAGGCGTTCGACCGTGTTCCCCGGGGTGTCCTTTGGGGGGTCCTCCGGGAGTACGGGGTCCGGGGTCCTCTGCTGAGGGCCGTCTGGTCCCTGTATGACCGGAGCCAGAGCTGTGTTCGCATTGCCGGCAGTAAGTCAGACCTGTTCCCGGTGCATGTTGGCCTCCGCCAAGGCTGCCCTTTGTCACCGGTTCTGTTCAC